CAAAAATTATACGAAATTTTAATTCAAAAGATCAACATAAATCATGCATGCGCAGATCCTTTTAACTCTAATTAGTTACAATTTATTCCATTTTAATTACATTACGCAACAGTAATTAACAATAAAGTTATATAAGTATTATATGACTTTACATGTTAGACTTTACATATTAAAATAAAATTATTAGTTTGTATATTAGATATTATTCTATATTGAATTAGTATGTAGATAATAATTAGTTTATTACATAAATTTAAGAAATGATTTTTATCTGTCTCAGCTTGGTTTTTCCTTTTTACAAATTTATTAGGTAATTAAGAAAAGTAAAAATTAATAATTAGACCACAAATATTATATTAACTACATTAATTTGCAGCCTTAAATTTTCCTGATTGTTAGATTAAAACATTTTTTTATCTCCGATCCCTAATTGAACAAAACAAGACAGAAATATAATCTACACAGTATAAATATTAATAAGATTATTTTCCAACATAAGATAATGCATTACATTACCAATATAAACTAAAACTATGCATTATTAATTATATGTATATATATATTGCATTATCTTAATTAAGCTAGTAATAAAAAGCCTTTTGAAAACTTCCTATTCAGTAATTAAGTAGTCATTCGTCCATATCCTGTTTAACTTTTTTTGTCATTGCATCCAAAATACATAATTATTATTACTTTCAACTGCAACCATCCAGCATATATTCGGCACTGCAAACTTCATTATGCCCATCGCCCCGAGAAATATTGTTCCCCTAATAATATAGCTCCTACCTAACTAGGTTACTATACCAAAAAGAACTGCGTTATCTCCGAATCAACGATAAAGCGGGTTAACTATAATCCAATTTCTGAACTTCTCTTTGACATTCAGAATTCTCTCCCTGTCTTGCGCCTTTGTATCACCAATAGAGTCGAGATGCGAGCCCCAGTTCGTAATGCAATTAAGATTTCTGGGGTCATTATTAAATATAGGTGTATTCCCTAGAACTTTAGAATAAATTCCCATTCTAAAAGGAGATGCACCGTTGTGGGTAAATAAGATTTCTCTTTGAAGAATATAAATAGATTTTAAAAATATGAATGACAGAAGCTAGAAAAGGAAGCTTAGACTTATATGGATTCGTTTTATTGGTTAGTTTCTCGCTTCCCTTTTAAAAAATTAGTCAAGATTCAAATATTAAAACGATGTTTGAAATGTTTTATTAGAATCTTTTGATTATCGTATAGGTATAAACTGTATTTGAAAGCATGTTTTATCTGCGTAACAAACAGTTTATTTTCTTTTATTAAGATAAGTAAACTTCAATGATAAAATATTTCCATAAATATTCACATTTTGAAAATTAATTTCGAAATTGTAATTAATGTATAAAAAGATAAATTAGATATTTCTTCTAGAATAAAAAAATATGAAACAATGCAAATAGTCAGAAAATATGAATAAGTTACTGAATTATATAACTGCACATGGAGATACAACTTCTGGTAAAAATATCGTGGGGAGGGTGTTGAGATTTCTGATACAACGGAAGCAGTGTTGTAATATAACGAAACATGATACAGCGCAAGCACAAGTTAGCATGCATCACGATTCAAATTTATGTTTTAAAAGAAATATATCTGTGTAAATCCGTATAATCAAATGTTCGAACCATTTAAAAGCAGCTATTTAGTATTATAATTTCAAAAGGAAAACTCTGTAAGATGATGTTGTTATAATGTGAAGCTTCAAATTCTTTTGGGTAGAATAATATAATTTTCATCTTTGAACAGCATGATACATGCTAAGCGTAGCAGTGTTTTAAAATAATAAAACTTTCTCATAACTACAATTGTATTAAAGTTATGGCATATGCATAGCATTATATTTTCAAGGAGCAGTATAAAGTTTAGCTGTTTTACTGTTGATTTGAAATATGTATATTTTTATGTCTTTAATGTCAATCAATTCAAATTTCTGAACACGCACAGTTCAAAAATATACGACTATATGAAAATATGATTTTAAAATGTATGACAACGGGAACTGACTATATTTTTTCGATAATGACAAAAAGTAAAAATAACAGATATCTGTAATCTAAACATTTTAATCATCTCTTAAATTTGAAATACTGAAATAGACCTAGATTTTTTAAAAATTCACAAGTTTAAAAACTTACCCTTAAAAAATAAGGTGTTCGTGAGGTTGCTTTGAAGTTCAGGGGTGTTAAAAAATACACACGCGGTGGAAATCATGTTCTGTTTTTTACCAACATAGCTTCATAAATAAGCCTCAATTTCCATTACATTTAGACCTCATTAACTCAACCTCATACATAGCTTAACAATACTTTTTTTTGAAATCGGAAGAAATTATTCACACCTCAAGTATACTTATTTGCTTTAAGTGTAAAATATAACATAAAAACCCTAAAAACAACCTCGCTAAACTGGTTGCTCTAAGATAGATTTCTATCAACCTAAAGTCACCTAAAATGTGGATAAAACTATTTCATACACCTTGATTATAAACCCTGGGACATTTATTTCTTTTAAGTTAACTTTAATGAACCCTCAAATCAACAAAAACACCTTAAAAAATCTCAAATAAACCTTAAAAAATACCCTCAATTTTTGTAAGAGTACTCTCATTAAGTAAATATCTGTGAGTAAACTTATTGCGGAATTTAACAGCTACTGGAAAGAGTACTGAAAAGGGAAACTTAAATTAAATGGGACGCTTTCATGTGCATTATCTCAAAGTAAATAAAAAAATACATTTTAATAGATGTTTTGTATTGGAACTATGAGCATGAATCTATCCTTTAAAAAATAAAAAATAACTTAAATAAACATTTATTTTGTAAAGATTAATGAATATTTAAATTTAAATGCTTAAGTTCTTATTTTTTGGTTAAGATTAAAAAACATCATAATTAAACACAAAAAGTAAGCACATTATCCATTTAACATATTTGCCGTAAGCTTGTAACATTAATATATATGACAAGAATAATTATTTAAATAAAATATTAAACTTATTTATTTCTTAGGAATATACTTTTAAGTTTCGGAATGCAGAAAACTTAATTTAAAATCATTCTTTTTAAGAAATCAATATTTCTTTTACATCTTAAACGCTTTTAGAAAATTTCCCATTACACAATTATCTGGAGGGCAGTATATTAATCATCAGTTCATTAAAAAACCCTCATACCAAGCATCATCGCCAAAAAGAACTCCATCGCCAATTTCGACGTCAAAGGCATTTCAATTTAATGAAATGAAAGATTAGAAATGAGATAACAAAATTACATTTCCAACCAGCTAATCATATATCTGGGGAAATTTTTCTCTAGGATCTCGATGAAGAATAGAAGTGGAAATTTGCTTCTTTTAGTTTATTTTCTCTTACCTTTCATTGGTTCTTTATTCCATAAAAATAAAATAAAAAACGTACTGTTGAATTTAAGAATGGTATTTCGTATGTCGCTTGATCTCTCATCGTTTTATAGGATTAAGGGAATTTCTTTTTCCAGTTCTTGTCACCGAAATCTTTCGTCTCCAATTACAGGAAGGATCCATGTTAGCCACTTTCTTCCACTGATCGAATATTTGCAAGGGTTGATCTAAAAATCTAACAGTCTTTCTTGATCGGTCAAAAAATATTAAATAAAATTACTATGATATATTCAAATGCGAAAATCAATTTGGAGCTTTTTTTAATTGAATATGCTTTGTGTATTTTCTGCTGATATCAAGACTTATAATATGCATTATACCATTTACTGTTAATCTCTATTTAAATTAAATGGAAGACACCTTAGCTAGCGTGTTTGAACTACGATACAGCTTTACTATTATTGAGTGCTCCAAAAACAACAACATTTGAATTTTTAAATTTAAAAATATATTTTTTTTAAACTTATTGATCATATTAGTTAATCATAAAATTGATTTATTGCCTGGGAGATGGGTTTCGAACATGAAAACTTTTTTTGAAATAACCTAGTTATATACAGTTATGTGTTCTCCTTCATTTACACTAAAAATTAACTGCCTAGACACCAGAGCAATATAACTAAATGCTTCTTTTCATGTTGCTTTGTAGGCAATAGTTTGTGTTAATAAACCCAATACCACACAAGTTTTAAAATATATTTATCGTAGCACACACTCTAAGAAAAATCTATTTAATGTTAAATTGTAATATCGATACATTGGACCATAATTGTGTGTAAATTTGTTGTATCATTAATGAGGTGGTAAAATGAACCTTTTTGTCATTTAAACTAAACTGTAATACCATATAATCAAATTTAAAACGGTTAATCAGTGCGGTATTCATATCAGTACGATATCAATATCAGTGCGATACGAGTTTAATTAATAAGGTTTCCTCAAATTTGAATGATATAATTCATCAATTCTCAAAGTTTCATACAATGCGCAATGATTGAAAAATTTTGCTAACTAAACTGAAAGAGCCGTACAAAGAACAATAACAATAATTATACGTTACATATTCGTTTATTTTCAAATATAAATTTCAGTATTGTGTTTTTCATTTGGTTTTTTTAATATTGTGTCCCGAATTTGGATTTTGTGCTCTTCTTTCGATACACTGTGAATCAAAAGATGAAAATTTAATTTTTGAAATAACAACTCGCAACTTTTTTTGTACACGATGTAACCTATTCTTAGTTTTAGTTGTGTCTTTGTATGATCTAACCTCAAATTTTCTCAATTGTCAGCACAAAATTTTCAAAATTATTGCCAGTCACCAGAACAATCAAAATATTTTAAAACAGTTAAAATTGAGACAAAATATTTTAATGAAAGTCATTAAGAAAATAAATTTTGAAAAAACATCACGCAAAAGCATCGAATTCTTACAATTTTAAACAATTAATCCAAATTGCATTTTTTGTACAATAATTAACTTTTAATGAAGATTCCGTAATAATTTTATAAATTCATGAGAAATTAATCTTTTTCAGCTACTGTTCCACCTTTAACTGCTTCTTATGATTCTGAACGAGAGCTTTTTCAACAGTTAAAGATTATAATACCTATTGCATGTACTACTGTGGTACTTGTTCTTATCATTACAGTAGCTTGTGTTGTTCTTATTAGAAGGCGCCATACAATTCCTGAAGGTAAGTAGGAAACTTTATTTATTTAAAACTTTTATTTATAAAAGAGAGCTGCAGCTGGTTTACGATAGCCTTAAATAATGACTTTCTTTGGGCCAAGTTCATTGATTCTTTTAAATGATAACATTACTCTCAGCTTGCTTTGCATTTCAATTTTATTACTTTTTAAATCCCACTTGATCTTTCAACTAATGTTGGGAGATACTTAATTTTCTTTGATTTTAAATAGTTTATTCAAATTAAGAAAGATGAATTTTAAATTAAATCTTATTGTCAGACATTAATATAAAACAAAAAAAATGGATTTATTTCTTGAATATATTTTTTTAATTATTAATATCAAAATGAAAAGATATAAAATTAATTTACAAAACCACGTCTATTTAATTATGTGACTAATCTATCAAAATTGGGAACACTGTAAAAATTTCGGATCAAATTGTAGTAAAATGTACCAAGTACCGGTACTTTTTACCGGAAAAACGTTTTTACTGGAGCATGTTACAGATCAAAAAATCTGAGATGGCATAAAATCACTGAAACATACTAATTAGACAAATATCCTAAAAACAGAAATGTTTTACAGTAAAAATGAATTTTACAGTAAATTGGATTTTATGGATGACGCACCCAAAATGCATGTATTTTTATACCGTAATTTTATCTGTATTTTTACAGTGTACATAATATAAATATTGACTAGTAAATTTTTTAAGAATAAATTACTGTAAAGATATACAAGAAATCAGATATATACACAAATATATGAATAATAAAACATATATTTCTTTGCGTGCTTAAGATTTGCAGATTTTATCGAAGAATTAGTTAGCTTTTTAGGAACTAGTATTGCCTAAAAATATGTAAACTAATAATATGAGGCTGTTAAAATAATAATTTCGTAAGTTTGGCAACTCCTCACCGATTGGATTCAGCAGCCTTCGTTTTCAAATTACTGCTTGAATATTAGAGTACTCTGCATTCATCTAGTAACACTGTTCATTTTAATTTCAGAAACATCATTTTGCCAGCATATTTTAGGAAACTATTCAAAATTCCTGTCAAAAGTCATCCTCTAAAATATTATTAAAGCTGATATTTAGAAGCTCTTGATTATACAGTTGTTATTTCCTGCTTTTGAATCTAACGATCGATGTAAAACATTTTCCATTTTCTGATTGCATTCTGACTCAAATTAAAGCAGAGTTTTCATGTTCTTCGATAGCGTTACGTGATAACGCAATAAAATACCCATACCAACTTGAATTGTATTCTATTTCGTATTAAACTCTAGGTTTGCAAAATCGCTATCTATTAAAATGTAATCTATCTTTTGGAATGTAATTTATCATTTTGAAATATTAAAATGTAATTTTAAGTTATATTTAATGAAGAAGTTTCAGAATTTGACGTCATTTGATATCAGAATTTGACAATTGAAAATTAAGCATTATTTTTCTAACAACGAAATGATATTTAAAAATTTCTGAGTCAAATAACGGTAAAAAATACCTGCCACTCAAGGTGCAGTACTGTAAGGGTATTTTTCACCGTAAAATCAATTTTTACCAGATGTAACGTGTTCATTCACATGTTCATTGTTGGTCACATGTTCATTCATTGTTCATTCACATGTTCACATGTTCTTAACATGTTCATGTTAAGGAACAAAATATTTATATGCCAAAAATTTCATTCTAATAACTATCGTAAAGTCACTGAATTTCTCTAATTATTTAAATATTTCAGTGAAAATTACGATACAATATTTTACGGTAAAATCGATTTTACGAAGATGCACCCAAAAAGCTGGTACTTCAGCGCCGTAATTTAATCCAGAGTTATTTTACAATACACGGGAAACTTTTCTCACTGTATGTCAATCCACTCCCATCGAAGCGAGCCAGGACTTGACGGGCTAGTGGTGCACGCTTGTTATTTTGTAAACTTGAGACCCAATAAGATTTTCAATAATTTTAATTTAGATTCAATGAGGTTAAGTGTTACAATTTTTATTTATGTATGATTTTACTCAACTGCCAGGAAAAATAAAATTCATTTAAGAAAAACATCATTAAATTATGTAACTTAAATTATGTAATTTGGTGCTACGTCATTAAATTGTGTAACTTAATTTATGTAATTTGGTGCTACGTTTTTTGATACAAAATGAGAAATATTTGGTTTTTAGAATCTCGGCAAGAGCAAGACATGACTAAACCCGTAGACACTGTACCAATGACAGTATGGGAAAAGTCAGCTAGAGGAGATACGCGGATTTCACACAGCAGAGAGCAGCTATACTTCCCTGCACCATATGCGACTTCAAGAATATCCATGTACTCAGCAGATGGTGACCCAGATGCGCCACACCACCAACAGCAACAGCAGCGGCACCACGAGCAGAGTCACAACACATGGAGGTCGGACGAGCGGGAGCACACGTACGACGTTCCCTTCCTGCACAGACAGGTGACACGAATCTAAGCCCAGGTTCTGGTGTCACAATCAGATTTAACAATTTAAATTTAAATTATTTAAAATCAATAAATTAAAAGGGACCATCAATTTTTTAAAACATATTTAGTGCCCCATATTATTGAAAGGACATTGTATATGTTATATGTGTGATATATTTCATCCAAAATGGCGGAACTCGTGCCTTCTCTCATTACAGAATATCATCATCAATGAAGTGGCGGTCGGATCAGAAGGAAGAGAAATTGGGTACCAGATAGGAAGACATTTATACCTTAATCCAGGTAAAATTCAGGTATTTAATATAAAATATTCAAAATAATTGTTGAGCTAAATAGATGAATGTGTTAAAGGAACGTTTGTTTGGTTGATGAATGTGTTAAACTAACGTTTGTTTGGGTTGATGAAAATATGCAACTTCATTAATATCATTATACAAAATGCTTCGAACAATTGAAGGTAAAATGAAAGAAGGAAAACTGGCATACAATAAGAATAAAAATTTAAACTGAAACATGGAATCTCAAACGCTATTCGGGTGGCCAATATACGATCCAGGGGCCTTTAATGACTCAATTTTAGATTTTTTGTTGGTTGCAATTGTAATGCAAGCTATTATTTTTCAGAAATCTGTAATCTAAACTTTAAAAAAAACGAAATAAATAAAGAATGCTTTCTTACTTAAGAAAATGCAGAACAGAAGAGCGGGACGTTTAACGCCTCTATATTGGAAAATCGCAACCGGATTCTCAAATTTTTTGTCAGACTATAGCGGCAGCAACTCAAGATATATTGTAAATAAAAGTGTGTCAGTCAATGCAACTTAATGTGCGTATTAAAACAAAATATTTTCAAAATAATAATAATAATAATTCTACCATAGATCACTTGGAATTTCGGAAGGTGAATTTCTTCCATAGACTGACACTGGATAGGTGCCAAAAATATATTCGAAGCAGTACAACATCATATAAATTAAAGCATCATTTATGATAAACTACGTAAACTACGTCAAGTGCAATTTTTAACATTACATGAAATATGTATGATAAATAAAAGACATATATATGTAGACATATATGATAAATAAAAGTGCGTCAGTCTAAGTCATGTCGAAGTAATGTGTGTTTTAAAACAGAACGTTTTCAAATAAAACACATATAGTTTTACCACGGATTTCATGGAATTTTGAAAAATGGCTTTTTTTGATGCAATGACACTGAATAGGTACAAAAAATAATTTTGCAGCAGTGCAAGATCTGATAAATGAAAATTTCATTTATGATAAATTACATTTCATTTCGTTAATTTCACAAAGATTTTTTTTCATAAAACTCTCCTACATTACATAAGGATTGAATACGTGTTGCATATTTATAAATTGTTTTTCTTAAAAAAATATACAGGACATAAAGTTTCTATAGTTTTAAAGGAATACTAATTGTTTTCTTACATAGATCTCTTCTTAAAGTTCTATAATCTGTATTCAAGTAATTTTTAAATGAAGATGTATAGATTTTAGAGTTTGTAGCTTAAATCATATATTATATTTCTTTTTTCTTCGTTACTCCTTTACAAAATGAAGATATTTATACTTTCACTGATCTTTAACAAATGCCTGTCTTAAAGTGAAATAAATAAAATTTATTACCCTCATTGAATTCGAAATAAGATAACGACACAATCAATGAGGCATCAAATGAGTGTTGCAAAAGCATTACTAATATTCTCCATTAGGAAGATTACATAGATTACATCCATTTCATCGTTGAAGATAAATTACTTGTTTATAACATTCTATTTATCCCTTTGAGTTCGCCTATTTAAAAGTAAAAAGAGTCTCTAAAGCGTAATAAGTCGACAAAGCATCGATTTTCTGATACCATATATTATCAAAAACTTCTTTATCCGGTGCTTGTTACAAATTTGATCACTTTTACTAAAGTCTTTGAGTAAAGAAATTGCCTTTATGAATTGTTCGACAGATGTTAGGTAAAATATGAAGAAAAAAATGTGCTTTTATTTCTAAATGTGCTTTTTAAATTTAAAAAAAATCTATCCTTTCTCATTGTTAATTAACAGTACAAATTTCTCTGAAAAATGGTGAAATATTTTTTTTTTACCATATTCAAACAAAACAGTGAAATAATCATAAATAAGATGATATTCTAACCGTTAAATGTGACAAAAACCGTTTATTAATAGCTTTCCCATAATACGGTTAAACAACCAAAATTTTATCGCAGCAAATAAGCCCAGCTAATGAAGCCACTTAATAGATCAAGATGGCAAAAACTTATTGGGACGGCCTTGGTCTGTCATAGGCTGTAGTGCCCAAGAAGAGGAATGAAACCACTTTGTTCCTAGAAGTTGGGTACATATTATAGTCGAGAGGGTTAATCTGTCAGACACATCATGAACAGCAGAACTGGGGTTTTGAATCTCAGCGTTGGCACCACAATATTTTCTCCATTCTCTTATACACATTAAGAGTTTCCAGTGCCCAGCACTCTCCAAGATCCTATGCCCAGTTATATTCTTTTTTACGGTTTTGAAGCAATGCTATTTGCAAATCGTTAAAAAGCAGTATAATTTTGTATTCCTGGTTTAATAACCATACTAATTGTAAATGATTTCAAAAGCGTAAAGGTAAAAAATGTTCCTTACCGTAAAATTTACTGTTAATTAGATAGGCAGACTACTGTTACTTATTTCACCATAATTTTCGATTGAAAATTCTTGCAGTAAAAACAGAGCCAATGTATTGCAGAAAAGTCCGTCGATAATAAAACTTCTATAAAAATTAATATTTTTTTATCAATTAATTAATGATTATTGATTGTTAAGAACTTGAATATTTAAATAAGATTTATCGTTTTTATTACATGCTCTTTTTATTATTACTGTAGATTCAATAACATGAAATATTGTTTATTTTTTAGTTCTAAGTTAATTCATGCAGAAAACTTTAAAGAATTTAAATCATAACATTATATAAATCCTACTATATAATCCTACCAACATCATTTCACATTTATCATCCCACGTCGACAATCTCTTTTTTTCCAAGTAGACGAACTGCAGTTTTTGTTTTATAAAAGGTTCACTAATGCCAGAAGCTCTTAAATATTTTAAATGGGAAAATATGGTATAATGGGGTATAGTTGTAAACGTTGTTTTATATAGACGAGCTATAAAAAACTAAACGCTTAATTCTGTAATGATTTCTAAGGAAGTTATGCCCAATTAATTGTTTTTATATCCAAAGACCATAAGCTTACATAAGAAAACCTGAAAATCATTTATTTGTAATAGACATGCATATTTTAAATTATTCTTATTCGAATTATTTTGATGTAATCTATTTCCTAATTAGATATTGTGGATTTTCGTTTGATATGAATTAAGATCTTTGGTTTAAATTAAAATTATTGTCCATCCACAGGAAGGTGATGGAATGCCTAATCGTAATATGAATCATTTAGTTAAAATAAGAGTTATATATTCTATAAGGAAGTTTACAGTTAAACTGTTTTTAAAAGTTTTCATTGTTACAATAAATGCTTTTAATATCGAAAAATGCGATATTTTTATAAGTGTTGTGAGTTTACTGTAACAGCTATTCATGCCTGCTAAGTTAACCTATGCCTATTTGTCGCTAATGCTAATTCTGAAAGGGGCTCGTCATTATGAAGAGAAGTCACTGTTTCGTGAAAGTGAAAACATTATATATACAGTAGTGGCCAAAAGTGTGGACACTTTTTGAAAGTTTCATGTTTTTCAACTTTGAGTTGTAGAATATATTAATATATACATACATTACAACTACATTATATATACATATATTACAACTTGTAGAATATATTAATTTTCACTTAAATACAAACGTTTTTATATCAAATTGAAGGTAATTTAATGTAGAATTTAATAATAAATGCAGTAATACAATATCGGTATTACAAAAACAGTTATGCAATTAATAGTAAGATCTATACTAGAGTTGCATTTTTTTAAAGTGATACTTACACAATCAATACTTAGTAGGATAACCCTTAATTTTTAAGACAGCTTCACAGCGTCTTTTCATCGAGTGAACGAGTGTTTGGAGTTCATCTTTCGTAATCACATGGTGCCAAGAATCAATTATAGCTTCACTTAGTTGTCTTTTATTGGATGGACGATTTTTTCATACAAGAATTTTCAAACGTCGCCACAAATTTTCAATTGGATTGAGATCAGGGCTGTTTCCTGGCCATGGTAATATATCTATGCCATTATTTTGAAAGCATGCTTTGCATACTTTTGCTGTGTGGCATGGAGCTGAATCCTGCGTGAAAATAAATGGTTCGTTGCTGGGGAAGAGATCCCTGATGGAAGGTATCAATTTTGGTTTCAGGACAGTTTCGATGTATTTTTTGGCATTCATGATGCCAAATCAGACCGAAAAAAATGCACAAGTGCTACTACCGATAGAAAAATTAAATGGCTATGCCTTCAAGATAGAAAAATGTCATCAGATGCCATTAGATGTGAAATGAATGCAGCTGGTATTGCAGTAAGTTCAAGAACAATAAGAAGAAGCTAATCAGGATTTGGACTACAAGCTAGAATTCCAAGGAAAAAAACATATTTAAATCAAAAGCAACGCGATAAACGAGTTAAGTCGGCAAAAGAACACATTAAATGGTTAGAAAATCAATGGAAGCAAGTAATCTGGAGTGATGAGAGTAAAATATCGCTCTCTGGATATATATATATATTAAAATGCATCTTAATTATCTTCAATTTTGTTACCATTTTGAAGAAAAAAATAAGGTCGGGGAAACATATTCCAATTTGGGCTGACAGAATGGTTATGAGAAAACCACAACTACTTTGGCGGATTTTAACGTAGTTTGAATATGTATTATACGCACCAAAGACGTAGAATACAGACGGCCATCCTCCGAGGACATCTGTCACAGAGAGAAGTCCAGAAATAGGCAGAGCAATTACAGTTCCGATTTGAGCTCCAGAGAAGATGACGGTAGAAACTCTGCTTCGCTCACTTTTTGGTGACCACCTGCTTATGGCGACGTTAATTGCTGGGATAGTTATGCCCTAAGAAATAGGATATTTAGTTATATTTATATAGAATATTTAATAATATTTAGATCCTACCCATGTAGTTTGATACGAAATTAATTCTAAAATTTCGGGAAATCGGTAGTCAATATGCTTTTTACGTAAATTTTTCATACTAGTGGGCTGCGCCCCCTGCACGCTAACGCTCGCCAACCCCCGAAAATTGCTACGCAATCTTATATTGTTTACTTCGCAAACCAAGCT